TGTGCCCATTTCACATACAATTTAAATAATACAACAATTAAAAAGGCAATATTTTATTTCTTTTTGAGATAGAGTCTCACTCTGTTGCCCAGGTTGGCATGCAGTGGTGTAATCTCAGTTCACTGCAACCTCCGCCTCCTGGGTTCAAGTGATTCTCCCACCTCAGCCTCCCAAGTAGGATGATTACAGGTGCCTGCCACCACACCTGGATAATTTTTGTACTTTTAGTAGAGATGGGGTTTCATATAATGGTCAGGCTGGTCTGGTCTCAAACTCCTGACCTCAGATGATCCACAAAACTTGGTCTCCCAAACTGCTGGGATTACAGGCATGAGCCACCCCTCACACCTAGCCAGGAAATCTTTTAGAAAAATAAATCCTAAACTATGTACACATGCCAGTTTAAATTATGGGATACTACTGTCCCACAAACCTTTTTGTGTTTTATTTTGCTAGATATTTTTACTTAAGTATATTTTTAGGCAGTGTATTTTATAAGAATGAAAAAAATAAATATAATGTAACAAGGTATACAATAACAGTATGTGTAATTGATAATTGCTTTCCAATAGGTACTAATTACTTTAGGGTTATTTTGTTCATTCGTTTTTAGTTTTGAGACAGATTCTTTCTTTGTTGCTGGAGTAGAGTGGTAGGAATACAACTCACTGCAGCCTTGACCTCCTGGGCTCAACCATTGCTCCCATCTCAGCCTCTGGAATAGCTAAAACTACAGGCATGTGCCACCATGCCCAGCAAATTTTATTTTTTTTTTTGCAGAGATGGGGTCTCACTATGTTGCCCAGGCTGCTCTTGAACTCCTGGACTCAAGTAATCCTCCCACCTTAGTCTCCCAAAATGTTGAGACAACTGTGAGCCACTGTACCTGGCCTAATGTAGGTTCAATCTAAGTTTACATAACCATGTACAAATCCATCCATTTATTTAAATCACCTGAAGGGACTCATGAAAAAATTAAAGAAACACCTCTGAGTTTTATTGGATGGCTTAGTCCAGCTTTTAGTTTCTAGATGAAGAAGGAATGGTATTGGCTCACTATAATTTCTTATTTGCTGCCAGTCAGCATATTAAACAAACTATTGTGACTAATTTACTCCACAAAGTGCATAGTAACCAAGATATTAAGAAAATGAATGCAAATTTCTCTGCAACATTACTCAGATCAGTAACAACTCTGGTTTTCTCTTGCTTGATAAAATATAATAAAAACCTTGATATTTATTGGGATTGAGCTTTATATGTATGAAATAACATGAGCTTTCTACAGTTTGTTTTTTCTCTTTTTTTCTCTATTATTAATGTTTGCTCAAATTTTGCAGGATTATTTGAGATATGTCTATGTCGACAGGTGGTTCCGTGGTGTAATGGTGAGCACTCTGGACTCTGAATCCCCCGAGATATGTCTATTAATAATTATTGTTTTCATACTATTTTCTGCCATATTTACATTTTGTCATCACTTTGATTTGCATGTTTCCTTGTTTAAAGTGATACATAAAATAAGTTACTGTGTCTCACAAGTATTAAAAATTCTTTCCTTGACATAATTGTTCAATCACAATATTATCTTTATTACAGTCTAATGCTATCATTATCTAAGGAAATTTTGCATAAAGTACTTCATGTGTTCTATAATATATATATATGTGTGTATTGATGTGTGTATATGTGTGGGTGTATGTATGCATTCAGAGCAAAATAATGTATTGAGAGCACATATCCATCTACAAGTTCTTTCAACACACCAGTGATATAACTATAAAAATTTTTGTTTACATGAAATAATTCATATCGTTCCTGAAAACCCTAATGGGTGTCACCAGTAGACAAAATATTTTGCAGAATTCCTGAAAGGTGGAAAAGAAGGTAAGACTTCATTAAGGGGTATATGGGACAGAGGAAACCAGAGATTAAAAGTCCAGGTGAGAAAGCTGTAAGCAGAGGTAGGAGCATAAGTTCTGAAACTACATTAAGTTCAGAGTGAGCAGGTCCTAATTGTCCTAGCAGAGTTGTCTAGAGAGCAGTCATCAGCAGAGTTAATCAGAGGGCTGTCTGTATTTAAAAAAAAAATAGCAAGAAGGTAAAGCCTCTCAATTTCCCTCTCCACTACTCGAGTTTACAGAGCTCTGGCTGCAGCACTTGGCCTGACCTGTGTTAAGACACAAGTAAGATGCTTTGGAAGACATGTGATGTGGCTATTGGGCTTGGAAAGAGAGTAGCAGGATTCAGCATAGAAAAGTAAATCAATAAAGGCAGCTCCACAGCTCCACTGAGGGTTAAAGCACAGCAAAACTGCTCCCCTTGGAGTGAAGTTCATCTTAACTTTGGAAATTATGTGGGCCCTGGGCTGCTGTCCTGCCTTCTCTCATGCTCTCTCCTGCTCCATAAAAGAAAGCCCAAATCACTTGAAAATCACTCTTGTCCCATGGCCCTCGCTTAGGCCTCCTATTGGAGGGAAAGTTATTTGGAGTAAATAGTAAAAAGAGATAGATCTAGAAAACAAACACAACAATTGACTGGAGGAACTACCGGAAGTCAATAAACCTAAGAGAACTGTGTTACCAATTACAATTAATATTCTTAGAGAAAGGAGAGAGAATATCATATTCATAGTACAAGACCAGGCTGCTATGAAAAAGGAGAAAATGTAAAACAAAAATAAATAACTCCTGCTAATTAAAAATATAATTGTCAAAACACATAAAAAATCAGTAGAAATTCTGACTGATATAATAAACACTGAGGTCCACTGTAGAATAAATAAAGAAAGGAGTAAATGAATATATGAAGGAAAATTTACAATTACATATGTTATTCTGAAAGTTCAGATTTTCAATTGTAAAGAGAAAATTCAGTTCTCTGGAAAAAAAATGAGAATATCTAGAAACACAAAATTTTCACCTTGGTATCAGACTTTTAAGAGTGTTACTAAATGCTAGAAACTAATGAGGCAAAGCAAATGTTCGGAGTTTGAATCTGGAAAGTATAAATCAGATATGAGGGCAAAATGAGCATATTTTTGAGATATGCAAAGACAGAATGTTTAGTTATATACAAATCTTTAAAACACTTACTTAACATCATGATCCAGTAAAACAATAAAAGAGAAACCCAACTAAAAAGAAAATATTAGATCCAAACAGTAGAAGTAATCCACAATTTTATTTGAGAAACATTCTCAGAAAGACATCTGTGCAGCTGACATAGACTTTTATCTGTCCAATTTAGACCAAGAAGTAAAAAGAGCTTTTTAAAAGATGCTGTTTGGGACTTATGGGAGAAAAAATTGGGAGACTTAGAAGCCCTTAATAATAAGATGAAGTTCTATCCAGAAGTTAATGAAAAGTGATTGGATCTTCTAGCAACAGAAAAACAAGAATGTCATGATTCAAATATGAAACAAACTAAGATGTGACATGTGATGAAAATGGAAAGGAAGGTAATCTATTTGATCTTAATGCCTAGAAATTCCATGTTAAGTAGCATAGATTTATGAGGCTAGAATTATGCCTCAGTTTCTGAGTCCAGTCCTTCAGTTCTTTGGGGAACAACATTTGGATCATTGAAATGTAAAGGACTAATGATTTTCAGTGTTTTCAAATTACTTTAGTAATATTTCAGAAGTATATGTGCCTATTTTGAACATTGATAAAAGAGTTTGCAGCTATGAAAAAATAAAAGGAAGAAGTGGAAGCAGGGAAGTATTATTATTTCTTCATCTAATGTACTGGATAATCAACATGTACTACTTAATTTTGTTGGATCAAAACTATTAGATCATAATTTTCCTAGTTAAAATTATAAAGGTAACTGCTAACAGAACTAAAATAAAAATATAATAAATAAAAATCTGGAGATAGGTGAGAAAAAGGGAAATTGAAGTTATATAAGTAGGATAATAATTTCATATCAGAAAATAAATATATATTTAAAAATTACCAATCAGTAAATATTAGAAATGTTATTTATAATTATGATAAAGACTATCAAACAATTAGAAAGGGTTACAAAGGTTTAAATTTCAAGAATAGAGGAGGAAGTAGGATTAGGGATGAAAAATCTTTATCTTTTTTAACATGATGCATTTTTTTCTGTTACGATTTATAAATATGAGAAGCAAACAAGATATTAAGGAGCTCCAACAGGATAGTGTTAAAACTCCTGTATCCAAGATGTTTTCAAATATAAGTAGCAGAAACTTTCACTCATAGTGGCTTAAACTGTAAAGACCTTTGTTATGTCACTAATTCAAACTCCCTAGGGAGGATGTATATCACAAAAGGTACTTCATACTGTTGGTTGGTTGGTTCAGGTGGTTTTAGTAGCTCAGTCACATCATGGGTATTATACTTTCTTTACTAGAAAATATTGTAATGTTCTCAGAAGTTTGGACTTGCCCTTAGTAACAAAAGGACTGTAGGCTTCCCAGGCATTCTACCCAAAAATGGCAATACCTAGGAAGAAGAGGTATTTCATCTTCTCATAAGTTCTTCTCAGGAGTAAGAAAATATCTCTCAAAAGTTTTCCTTTTTTCTCACTGGCCATAATTGGTTCAAATACTCTTCCCTACATGAATAAATAACAAAGGCATTGCTACTACTCTGATTTGCTTAAAAAAGTATCATCCAAGAATAAGGCCACTTTCCTTTGGAACCTAAAAATGTAGAGTAAGAAGTCCTTTAACAGAACCATTATTCTAACAGAAATAAAAACAACCAAATGGATGCTGAGTAAGCAAGTTAATGTGTTCTCAAGTGCTCTGAGCAGAATTATTGATGCAGTAGAGACTAGAAAATTCATGTTTTAATACACATTCCCAAATCACCTGCTAATCTGAGTCTGAATTTCCTCACCCATGAGATTAGAATGATTAGCTAGGTTGGAGGTTCTCATGCTCTAGCTTACATCATAATCACCTGGAAGGTTCATTACAACACAGATTGTAGGTTACCAACCTTAGAGTTCCTGATTCAATAAATCTGGGTGTTTAAGTTTGTATTTCTCACAGGTTCCCAGGCAATGATGATGTTGCTGGTCTGGGAGCTACACACTGAGAACCATTGACCTAGGTAATGTTCTTTGTGAAGGCTCATCTCAGAATGACTAGCTAGGTAACTAGCTTAGTGACTGAAAATTAACAGGTCCAGTACTATTATTATTTGAGATGGAGTCTCACTCCGTCACCCAGGCTGGAGTGCAGTGGCGCCATCTTGGCTCACTGCAACCTCCACCACCCAGGTTCAAGTGATTCTCTTGCCTTAGGCTTCCAAGTAACTAGTACTCCAAGTCACCATGCCTAGCTGATTTTCTTTCATTTGTTTTTGTATTTTTTGTAAAGATGGGGTTTCACCATGTTGGCCAGGCTGGTCTCAAAGTCCTGACCTCAGGTGATCCACCCGCCTCAGCCTCCTGAAGGGCTGGGATTACAGGCATGAGTCAGCCACTGTACCTGGCCCAGAATTACATTTTTAAAAAAGAAACTATATCTATCTATGTATCTATCTATCTACAAATATATGTACATATGTATGTACATATATATGTACATATATATGTACATATATATACACACACATACATATATACATATATTCTGTCTCTAGCATTCAGTAAATCTTAGTTTTTCTCTAGATCTAGATTTATCACAACTACAAATTCTATTTTTCTTTCCATTTAAAAATTCACTGTTGCCTACTTTCCCTGAATAATCTTGCACTATTAAAATAATTTGATACTGATTAATTCCCTGCTTTGATCTTTATTCACCTGCCTGCCTGCATTATGCAAGTGCAACAAATGTCTGATTTGGATTTTTAATATTTTAGAAATCAAGCACTTAATACTAACACAATTCTATAACCTGAGTTACTCCAATGCTGTTTTGTGGTGACCAACATGTAGCCAAAAGCCTATTACTATGCCTTAGGTTTCTTGCTGTGGGGAATTATTCCCTAAGCTTATTTGACTACAGAACACATTTAAACATTGGCAGAATATCAAGCAAAGCTCATGAGATATAAGGTTCATTTGGAGTAAAATGGACAAATAAATGATCTCACCGATGTATTCTCTGCTATAAGAAATAACTGAGCTCTGATTTATATGCTTTTTAAGAAACATTATAAAAATAATTTAGAACAATTAAGTCATTAATTATGATCAACAGAACAAAATAAAATAATTCATTTTATATGTTGATATGAAAACTAATACAACAAAGAACATTTTAATGAGACAAGCCCTTTTAAGTGATTTCTTTCTTTATAGTTAATACTATGAGTAATTGTATTGAATTATGTTTTCATACTGGACAAAACATTGTGGTGTTGGGGGACAATTTATTTCCACTTTACTGCTGTATGACAATCTTGTTTGCAGAGATCTAGTCCATCAGAAATAGTGAAAGAGGCTATGGTTAATAGTGGAACACCTTTGAATTAGAGTATTCCAGAAACTATTTATTAATTTCTATTAGACCACTTGGCTTCTGAGATTTTGAAAACAAGTCCTTAATTGTTAGTCTTTCCTTTATTTATTCCATTCAATGCCAAGAAACTGTTTTGTAGCTAAAACTTTTAATTAATTAATATAGTCAGAGAGGATCTTGCTCTGTCAGCTACGCTGGAGTGTGGCAGCATGATTTCAGCTCACTGCAACCTCTGCCTCCTGGGTTCAAGCAATCCTCCCACCTCAGCCTCCTGGGTAGCTTGGACCAAAAGTATGTACCACCACACCAAACTAATTTCTTTCTTTTTTGTGGGGGCATTTTTTTGTGTGTGAAGATGGGCTTTCATTACATTGTTCAGGCTGGTCTTGAACTCCTGGGATCAAACTATCCACCTGCCTCAGCCTCCCAAAGTGCTCGGATTACAGGCGTGAGCCATTGTACCTGGCTAAAACTTCTTTTTACAACCACAGATTTTTGTGTCTTACAAATATTAGACTTTGAATAATATTGAATAACAAATATATATTAATATTATAAACTAAGACATACTATAGACTGCTAATCATTAAGACAAAGACAAATCAAGGAACTGCTTCTTTGATGAATTATGCTTAAAAATTAATTGAATTTTAATTAACAAATGGCTACTCATGCATTGACCAATTTCTACTGTGATTTCTTTATATGCAGTGTGCATAGCATCTTATTTAATTATAACTATACAAGCCTTTGTTATTATTTTTACATATCTTTAAAACCTATTTTAGTGATGACTATTATTACTGTAAGAATCATGTATAGATAGGTACCTGTGGGTACACATTAATATTTCATAGAAACATTGGGGACCAGACTGGAGTTGGAGAAACTGTGTGGCACAAAGGTTCATAAGACTCACTTGACTTCCAGTGACACTACTGATAGGCTTTATTCAAAGCAGTCAAATTATAATTTTGTATCTAGCATCAAAAATGATCTTGTAGATGTCATTATGACATCTATAAGACAACTGCTGAGTTGTCATTTCCAATGGTCAAGGGCTCATTTTTTTTATTGGACTTATGAACAGTATTTGCTATTGTTGATCTGTTTCTTCAGCTTGAAACACGTTTTTTCCCTGGGCCTCCAGTTTGCAGGTTTATAGTTTGCCACTCGTGGTTCTTTTCCTGCTTCACTGACTGTTCCTTTTCAGTTGATTTGCTTTTCATTTTCCTGATTTCTAATGTCGAACTGTCTGTGGGCTGAGTTCTTGTCCCTCTTTTTTCTCTATCAGCATCCATATACATCAATTTCACAAGTGGCATCTTCTGGTTCCATCCATATACCAGTGGCAAGAGCATGTGTGTGCATGTAACCATGCATGTACATGTGTATCTCCAGCACTGACCTCCCTCATGAACTCTAAACTGCTTTAAACAAGTACCGTCTCACAGCTGCGTCTTGGATGTCTGATTCTAAATTATAATCTGTCAAAGACCAAACAATTGATCATTCTCTCCAAGGCTGATTCTCCCACAATCTTCCTATGACAAAAAGTAACAGGTCTATTATTTTAGTTGCTTAGGCTTGCAAACCTGGCGATATATTTGACTTCGTTCTTTTTCTCACTATCAATTCTTCTGAAAATACTGTTGTATTTACATTCAAAATGCATCTAGAATAGAAATACTTCTTACCATTTCTACCCCTACAGCAGTAGTCCATTATCTCTTACCTGTATTGTTAAAATAGTCTTCTAAGCTGGTCTTTCTGCTCTCTTGCCCCTCGATGACAATCCAGAGTAACCTTTAAAAAATCATATTCAAGTCATATCAGTTTCTCTACTCAAAACCCTCCAGAGGCTTCCTGTCTCATGCAGGGAATATACAAGGCATATTCCATGGCCTGCAGGGTCACATAATCTACGTTCTATTACCTCACTGATGGTCTGACTCCTTTGTAGCCACTGTGGCCTCCTCCTTGTTTCTCAAACGTGCCCAGAGAATTCCTTTCTCATGACCCTTGCCCTTGCTCTATGCTCTCCTTGGAGTATGCTTCCCTCTCCAGAAGAGAATTTATTTTAGGTCTATATTAAAAGGTAACTTCTTTAATTCCAGCATGTTAGGAGGCCGAGGCAGGCAGATCACCTGAGGTCAGGAATTTTAGACCAGCCTATTCAACATGGCAAAACCTCATCTCTACTAAAAATACCAAAATTAGCTGGGTGTGGTTATAGGGACCTGTAATCCCAGCTACTCTAAAGGTTGAGGTAGGAGAATCGCTTCAACCCAGGAGGCAGAGGTTGCAGTGAACCGAGATCCTGCTACTGCTCTCCAGCCTAGGCAACAGAGCAAGCCTCTATCTCAATAAAATAAATAAATAAATAAGGAACTTATATAGACTATTCCATCTGCAATTATACCTTCACCTCATCACTTATTCTTTCATAACTTATCACTCATCACTTATCACTCATAACTTCTTATCACTCATCACTTTTTCTTTCTTTTTTTATAACTCAGCATCACTCAAAATGCACACGCACGTGCACACACACACACACAGTAGCAGTTTGTGACAGCTCCATATTTTCTGTTGTTTAGGCCATCAATGTTTATTTTTTAAATTTATCTTTTTCTCTCTCATACTCTTCACTCAACCTATCAACAAATGATATTGGTTCTGCTTTCAAAAGATATCGATATACAGCCAATTCGATGTAAATCTATACCTCTATGTAAGCTGTTACCACTTCTCACATTTGCTGCCATCATTGTTTTACCTGGGTTATTGCAATTGCATTCTCCCTGACATCTCTATTTATGTCCCTGATCCTTTTTAGTCAATTTACCACAAAGTAGCTTCAGTGTTCTTATTAAATATGTTATGTCATGTCACTCTATTAATGAAAACCCCTAACAACTTTCCTTTTTTACTCAAAGTAAAAGCCACCCTTCTTTTATGAAAAATGAGACTTCATCTTGTCTCCCTGGGCTGTTAATTTCACGAGCTCATTTCCAGTCTCTCTCCACCTTATTCCCTTTACTCCAGCCATGCTGGCTTCTTTGTGTTTCCTTGAACATGGAGGACATGTTTCAGCCCTGGAGTGTTTACACTTGCCTTTCCTTCTCTGTCAGAAAAGGTCTTCCATACAATACTGAAGGAATTGCTTTCTCCCTTCCGTCTAGGGCTGTGTTCCAGTGTCATCTTCTCAGTAAAGCTTGCCTGGCCAGTCTATCCAAATTTCAGTTCTCCCTGAATCTCCTTTTGGTTATTTATTTTTTCTTATATTGAACATACTATAATTATTTACTGATTTACCTTGTTTGTTTTCTCTTTCCTTATCAGATTGGAAGCCCCAGAAGGGCACAGGTTATTTGCCTATTTTTCTTTCTTTTCTATTGTTCTTGATGCCATATTCCCAGTTTTTAGAACTATGACTGGCACATAATAAGCATTTGATAAAATGTTGTCTAAAGAACAAATTGATTGTTGGATATATTTAGGTGCATATTATATTCCTCCTCACTGGAAGGTAAGCTCCATGAATGGAAGAGGGAGATTTGGCTCTCTATCACATCTGCAGAAATGAAAAGGATGCTTGGAACACTGAAGGATTCAAGAAATATTTGTTAAATTGGTTAAACCAACACTATCAACTCAGTGTCCCCAGATGGAAAATGAGAGGCTTAGACTAGAATCTAGGCACTTACTTATTAGGTGATCTCCAGAAACTCTCCTGTTGTGATACTGTATATCCTCACTGCCTTCTCCTTAGTCATCGACTTCCTGTGGATAGAGCAATCAATAGTAACTGAGATATCAACATACTGAAAATGCTGTGTCCGAAAAGAAATATTCTGTGATGCAACTGCTCAGCAAATTTCTAAAAAAAACAAAAAAACACAACCATTCCTTGGGATTGTGTTTGAAGCAATTGTTGATCTTAGCCATGGAATGCCAAGATCTGACAACCCAGCTGAACATAAATGAAGAGCTTTAATCGAGTCTTTCAAAACCTCCAAATAGCACTTGTCTTTCTCAATATTTCTTTAAGAGGCAGTTATACACATATGTATTTATATATACGTACACAGAATACGGCTTTATTAATGGGTAATCAAAACAAATTCTGTATTTCTTATTCATTACATCGTTAGAACAAATGGGAGCCTGATGGATCTGCTTAAACTTTTATTTGGGAATTAGTAATCTGGTTAAAAAAATTGTGGCCAGGCTGTACTTAAAAAATACCAACTCCCTTGTTTAATTTCTTTCTTCCCCCTTTGAAACATGCCTTTATGCAATTTTTGCTCTACTCATATTGGTTATTTACTGTTTCCTTGGTTTTACTTTCCGGCATTGCATAAGTTTTTCCTTTCTTCTGGGATGCTCTTCCTAAACCTTCCATGAAAATTGTTCTACTTCTCTAGTATTTAGAACTGCAAAGTCCAGTATGGCAGCCACTAGCCACATGTGACTATTTAAATATACATTAACTAAAATGCAATAAAATTTTAGATTTTTGATTACACTAAGTGCTCAGTTGCCAGATGTGGTCAATGCCTATAGCCTTAGACCGTGCAAATGTCAAACATTTCCATCATCACAGAAACTTCAATTAAAATTAAAATGTACTTAGCAAATACACTTTTTCTTTTGTTTCTTCTCCTTGGAGAATAATTTAGAAAGTGTCTAATTTCCATTTGTCAAGAAATATTGCCATGTCAGATACAAAGCAGATATGCTAAACTAATTAAATTGCAATTCTATTCTTGTACAATTACTCAATACAACATTGAATAAAGTTGATCTTCTTTTGCCCTAACAAGATTAAGTATATTCTATTGATTCTGGAAAGTTACTTGCCTCTTCAAATGCTTCTTTTATCATGGTGGATTGACTTATACACTCAGGGAGACAGTAACATGCTAAATTTCATAAGGGTGCCTTGTAAGACAATTAAACTTATGTGTGCACACAATCTGATGAGAAAAATAGACGGCGGATCCCTAGGGAAATAATAAACCCAAGTTACCTCCCTTGGTCCTGAAACCACTTTCATTTCATTACTTCTTCCCTCTTATGCTCAACTTCCAAGTCATTGAAAAGTATTCTTTTCTTAATGGGAAGAATATATATATGTGTTTTTGGGAAACATATTTCACATTGCAATGAGGTACAATGAGTGAGTATATTAGAGTGATTTTGCTTTAACCTCTATTTTATTTAAAAAAAAAAAAACTAATTCATTTTGAGGACCTGCATTAACAGCACAGAATTTTATAAATGTGGGTTTCATAAGAGAAACTGTAGCCTCACTCATGACAAATATTCAAAATGACAAACCCAGGTGAGAAAGTGACATGTTCAAGTCTAGCATGATTTACTGTTTTGCTAAGACGTTTTCCATAAGAATAAAAATATATTTACAATCCAAGCAAGTAACTATGCAAAGTAATGTGAAGTTTTAAAAAAATCAAATACGTACTGTGTTCTTTCTTACATTTCAAGATATGCCTTAACAAAGAACTTCTTCCTTTTCCCTTTTTATGCCTCCAATTTGTGTGTATTATATAACTGCCATTTAAAAATACTTGCTTGAGGGCCATAGCTGTGTTTTAGTTGATTGTAAAGAAAAATCATGATCGAACTGCAGAATCACTGACAAACTGGCCTACACACAACAATGTTGAAAAAAAAAAAAAAAGCACCTTAAGTAAAGGCCCTTAGAATTTGTATTAATTGCAATGTAGAACCATAAAGACAAAGCGAATGGAAGCATAGAGAAGTCTTGCTGCCACTGATGACTCTTTCCTGACAGATGAGAAGTATTAACATACCTACTGCCTATATCTGCTCATTAAGACACAGCTAGTCTAACCACATATGGTATTCTCCATAATTTATCATAATATGTAGAAGTGTTACCTTCAGGCAGCTGATATTATGGGAAACAATTAAATAAAACACTACGGTGCTATCTCTGTGTGTAGAACACAACTGAGGAATTCAAGTATCTGCCACACCCAATGGGGCAGCCAGAATCTGCCTATCCTGCATCCTCATGGCTGAATTTATAGGGTGTGCCATTTAAATTGTAGATTTCATTTGCAGTGGGATGGATGTGAATGCAATGACCTAGCCCTTTACTCATCAATAAAGATTTTTCTGCATCTTTCTCTCACTGAAATATTATTCCTACAGTTTGGATTTCCATATGAATCAACCCTGTAAGCCTATGCAACCAAGACAAACACAGCATGAACATTTCTTTCCTTGTGTGCTTCCATTTTTGAAGCTGACACTAAATAGCAGTACTGGGAATAATGAGGGAAGCTGCACTGGCTGCTGTGGCTTAGAAAAGTGGCTATGTTAAGGGAAAGCCACAGCACAAGGATCCCAAGATGAATTAAAAAAACAACAGACAAAACAAAATACTAATTAAGAATAGTGACCAGAGACTTGAAGATCCAATGTATTGTTTATTGAAGGCCACTGTTTAAATCAAAAAGAGAAATATTTCACCAGTCACTTTGGGCTTAAATGTCATATTTGCTGGGTGAAATTTGCCAGACATTATTCTCATGAGAGCGTTTTATTACTATCACTTGGTTTCAGATTTTTCTCTTAAAGGAACCTGTGCAGAGTCATTTGACCTGTGCATATTGAAGGAGTTTAAGTCAAATTTATTCTCTACCTCAAACAATTTTCTATGTTGATGGTCATTCAAGAGCTATTACTGCATCCTTAAAGCCCACCAGTGTTGAAGTTTCTCTTAGCCAATTCCCCTACAGAACAATAAACTTCATAGGAAGACTGATGCATTTGAACTATAATTTGAGAAATTCAGCTCAGCTCTGGAATCTGGGCCAATGCATTTAATTGAGAACACATTTAAATTTCTTTGATATTTCTTTATAGCAAAGTATAATACCTCAAGGGGAAAACATATTTCATCTAAGTTACATTAACTTTGTTAAATAAGTAAATAACCACTTACCTGTAATCAAAAGAAATGGACAAAATATAAGCTACTGGCTTTATCCCCCTTACATCCAGAATAAGCAATTTCTTTTTCATATAACTATTTTCTATCAGCAATTAGTTATACTGAATAAATATTTTATGTAGAGGCCATAAGAATTTAGTTTTCCTATAAAAGTAATTGATGCTAGTCTATTTTCAACTCTTGAAATATTTTCTTGGCTTCCCTTGATGAGAATGTGTATAGACAAACAGCACAGCTCCCACCATTATACTGTTTTCTAAGTTATGGTCATGCATGGCCTGAAATAGAGTTATAATGGCTATAAAGTTCATTACACAAGCTATAGAGTGAAGGAAACTTAGGAATCTTATAGCTGGATTTGTTTAGCCTAGTGTTTTCAACATTCAAGGAGTTAATTTAAAGGGCTCTTTTCTTCTCTCTTAAAGGATAGGGTTTGCATAGTGACACGTGCAGGTGCACATGAAGACTGCTCCAAAGGAGAAAACAGTTCCACAGTCTCAATATGACAGCAGCATCATTGCCCTGACAGTGAGAGATTTGTTGGCATTGGAGGAGGAGAAAGCGGAGTCATGAGACAAAGTGACCAAATGAAAATAATGAATATAAAATAGGATCATGGTACTATTGTAAGCTGTTCTGAAAAAATACTTATTTTTAGATCTTTCTTTTAGATTCTACAGTAGGCTTGTGTAAAGTTTCTATAGCATTGAAAAGTTGTGCATATTTATTTGATGTATAATTTATTTATTTATCTATGTGTTTATTAAGTGTCCGGGTTGTTCCAAAAAGTATGAATCATAATGAAACAAAATCTAACGGATTTTTTTAAGTGAAAAGAGATTGGCCAATTAAAAAAAAAAAAGAATTGAAAGGCAGTAAGATAAAGCTAGGGTAATGTAATATTTAAAACTGAAGTTATGATCACTAATTTGTCTCTAAATTTTTGGTATTCAGTGTAAAAGGAGAAATATAAGGAATCAAATATTCCTATAATTCATATGTTTAAAAAATTAAAAATATTACTAAAGAGGAAATTAATTTATATTGTAAAGATTTACACCTGAGAGAAATATATCCTATGAATCGTTACAAAGATATTTCTTTATGATGTAAATGTTACTGCTTTTATGGGGAATTCTTAGAGCAAATATAATGGGTTACAATCAGGTAACGATTTACTATGCTCCTAGGCTGAGGGTACTATGCCCAAAATAAAACTTATTGATCCCAATTTTATCATCATTTAAAAAGGAAAAAAGAAATCCACAAATGACATCTGTGTATCTCTTTCTCTATACTTTGAAAGAATTAAAGCATGCACATGTACATGTGCACAAACAATTAATGGTGAAAAAAATTAAATGAATGATTGTACAGAAAACTCTGCCTGGAAAAACACATCCCCTCATCTAGTAACAGTATGAAGATAGTATTTTCCTTATGGTATGGTAGGGCATGACCAGGAATGAAGTATAGCAATTTTAAGAAATATAATTATGTAGGTATTAGTGACAGAAGAGCAGAGAATGTTAACACTCAATGGAGCATATAAAAGACTACCCTATTACTTTTCCTATTACTCTGATTCTATATATTCAGAATTCTAGAATCTTCATGGTTGATACATCCTTTTGGAGATTTGGCATATCTTCCAAGTTAATATAAAATTTTTTTCTACAATTTTTGACAATGTCTTCTAGAGTACATTCATGACATTTTTTAAAAAATGTGGTTCAGTCTGTTTTTTTTTTCTTCTATTTTCTTTTGTTTTAGGGTCTATCCTTATAATTAAAACAAAATCTACTTTGTTTTAATATTCACTCATTGGTCCCATCTTATTAAAGTTTCACAGATGTACTCTAATCTCTGTTCTATTTAGCTGTCTCTTATATGTGCTAAAACACTGACCATATCATTCTTCTCCATGGTTTCACTTGAGAAACTAAATATCCATAGGTACACCAGATATTCTTCAATTGGCATAGGTTTTAGAACCTTAATTACTCATTCATATACTTAAAATGCATGCTTATTTGTTAACAATATTGCAGCAAGAACAGGAAGTATGGCCAAATTAAAACATCAGGGGAAATAGGGTGTGGAACAGAGAATGGCCCAGCTCAGGTTGGGTTGGCCTATGTTTATGCTTGGTGAAAGCACAGACATATAGAAAACTATAGAGCTTTGAGTGAACTCTATAGTTTCATGATCTTGCTTCACCCTGATTTCTCCAACATCTTTATTTAATAATGGTGGCAACCAGCATTTCATCATGTTATCTTGAAAGGTCTTAAGAATTGTCTGATTTGAAAAATGTGTTCCATCGTCCATATGATCTCCTCTCATCTTCCCCGCTTCCAACTATGCTACTGCCTAGAACCAATTTTGTTGAATAAAAAGTACATTGTAGTTATTACATTCACTTCTCTGGTGAGTATAATTGTAGTGATGATTAGTAACAAAATGGAGGCTACTAAAATAGCTATAATTCCATGGTTGATGAATATGTGCTGAGTTTTCTTCTAAAAGACTTTGATATTACTTACATAAACTAAGATTACTTCATAATCTCCATGAAGTCCTTGTGCAGCAGATTGTTAAAACCAATGTGGTAATTTACATATATCCCTCTTAGGTTTAGCTCTTAGTTTCATCATATGTTTCCATGTGTTAAGATCTTTTAAAACCCTGAATGTGTTATATGTAGGTTTGAAAACTGTGTATTCATTCCTGTCATTGATTTTAATATTCTATAGAGAGGTTAGAACATATGTTCAGGAAAGATCTCTTTCAGCTGACATCATATCTTTAAGTCATTATCTTTTTTATTTTTTTGAAGCAGAGTCTCCCTCTGTCGCCCACGCTGGAGTGCAATGGCAAGATCTTGGCTCACTGCAACCTCCGCCTCTTGGGTTCAAGCGATTCATGTGCCTCAGCCTCCTGAGTAGCTGAGATTACAGGCACTCACCACCACACCTGGCTGATATTTTGTACTTTCAGTAGAGACAGGGTTTCGCCATGTTGTCCAGGTTGATCTCAAACTCCTGAGCTCAGATAATCCACCTGCCTCAGCTTCCAAAGTACTAGGATTACAGGTGTGAGTCACTGCAATCTTTGAATACAATTACTCTACTAACTGTAAGTCAACTCATTATTACTGTAATGTATCTGCTCAAAATATTTTCATAAGTTTGTCCCTTATGTATATTATCTCTATCGTAATGAAAATAAAGGTATTTGGATATGACTTAACCACCTCCTATTTACATTTAAAAAAATCTCTAAAATTCTGAGTTATATCTGGGGAAGGGAATAAGCTGCAATTTACTGGTTCTGAAGTCTACAATTTCTCCTTTTTCAAAACTATTTTTGTTTGTCATTTTAAAAAATTTTCTATGAATTTTTAAAATGTTAGAATTTTTTACTGATATTAGTAAAGTTTCCTCTCAGTACTTTGAATATAATTTTCCTGACTTTAAAGATCTGACAATTTGAAAGATGTTGAGTTATTCCACCACTATCTGCTCAACTACATTTGTCTTTATTTATCTTTGAGGTTTTATAATTTTGCTAGTTTGAATGTTATTAACTTTGATAGTGACTTTACTTGTCTAGAAAAATAATGTAAAATGTTTAAGTCCAAAAAAGAAAGAAAAATTTTAAAGAAAAATGTTGGTGTAAGACAGATAAGGATTCAAGGTCTCAATACTAACACTCAGTTGCTAAATATGTTCATAGTAGTTCAAGTCAGTTTCCTCATGTTAACATGGCAAAAAGTATAATTTACATGTTGAGTTTTCTTTGTTTCTTTTGCTTTATCAATTACATAGCATATTTAAGTTATATAGCACAACGAAGAATTAAAGGAGGTGTATCATAGAATTATCCTGGAAAGCTGAACTGGAAAAAAAAGAATGCTCTCCCTACATCTTTTTTTACATAATTATAAAGTGCAATTGAAAATCAAATTCTAGATCTAGAATCTTATCTCTCATTTCTGTGAGGTATAGCATAAAAAGGTAAAACTTGATTATCTCTACTTCACAACAAAAGTAACTAAATTCTAGAATAATAAAGAGACTTAAAGCATGTCATCCAGTTTGTAAAGATCTTTAGCAGTAAGGCAAAAATTAGACTAAACTTTCATCTATAATGTAATAATTTTCAGATAACCTACCTATCTTGAGCTAAGAGTTTTTACTGTGTTTATTTAAAGATGGAAAAGAGGATTAGCACACATTCAATTTTGATTGATTTGCTCATTTTTATAGTTGAAATAGTAAAGTCCTAACCTGATATAGTTTACTGAGTTGAAAAAGTCTGATTCTTTTCAGACTTCTGGATAAAATGAATTAGAAGCAGTTATGCATGTTCAAGGCAAAAACACTCAGAATATTTGTGTACTCACTGTCTACCTAATCCATACAAAGTTACTTTAACATCCAAGATATTTTATTAATTACTCAGTTCTCTATCTTAGTTTATATGTGTAGGCATAGCCTTAAGAAACCTTTTTTGAAATTTTGTCATTGTGTTAAAAAAAAAAAAAAAAAAGCCCAATCAAACCTTGGTGAGTGTGAAATGGAGCTCTGTAATTAATTTTATGAGAAAGAATCTTGAAGGCTTGTGACTTTTCACAGAAAATACCCACATTGCCTTGGTCTAAGGAATGAGAAGAGAGGTTGAACATTACATTGAGATGAGTTGCAATAGCCCCTGTGCAGCCCCCTTTCACTTTAGTGGAAATGAAATGCTATTGGCTTTTAGCACTGAAAAGAAAAAAGTATAAATTTGAGGGGTCGTAGGGAGACAGAATGATGAAATAAGCCAAAAATAAAATATTTTTCTAGGAAACAAGACAGGCAGTGTTGGTATTTCTGATTTTAGGTAACAAGCATGTATGCCCTATGCTTTTCCTCACTAGACTGGTCCATTTTCAATCAAGTTCCTTTAAATTGTTATTCTTAAAAAAAAAAAAGTTATTCTTTTAAGAGTTTCCTTGTATTGACAAAGCTGGTGTTTACTACTTGAAAGGTCCAAGAATAAAATGAAATGTTCTCTTAAATCCTCAAGGTGAGTGTCTGCAAAGTAGGTGTCACTTTTATTTAGGAAAGAAAACATTGGATTAAGCAAATGATGTTGTACTCTCTGAAGTTGTACATGGCAGAGGGAGGAGTTCAGAAATGTTTAGTGGAAGAAAGGAGAGTTTAAGCTATGAGATTCTGTTGATTTTAATGTTGGTAAAAGGCTTCCCCTTTATTTTATTTATTCATTTATTTATTTATTTTGAGACCTAGGCTTGCTCTGTAGCCAGGCTGGAGTGCAGTGGCCCAATCTTGGCTCACCACAACCTCCACCTCCTGGGTTAAAGCAATTCTTCTACCTCAGCCTCCTGAGTAGCTGGGACTACAGGTGCGTGCAACCATACCCAGCTAATTTTTGTATTTTTAGTAGAGACACGGTTTCACCATGTTGGCCAGGATGGTCTTGATCTCTTCGTCTCATCATTCACCAGCTTAGTCCTATCAAAGTGCTGGGATTACAGGCATGAGCTACCATGCCTGGCTGGGCTTCCCCTTTATAATTTTTTAAAATCTTAGCTCTTTTAGAAATATTCTTTAGTTATATGTGCCTTCAAAAAATGTTAGGTTAATCCATCTTGAGTTAATTTTTGTGTAAGGTATAAGGAGTCCAGTTTCAGTTTTTTGCATATGGTTAGCCAGTTTTCCCAACACAATTTTTAAAATAGGGAATCCTTTCCCCATTGCTTGTTTTTGTTAGGTTTGTCAAAGATCAGATGGTTGTAGATGTGTAGTGCTATTTCTGAGAGCTCTGTTCTGTTCCATTGATTTATATATCTGATTTGGTACCAGTGCCATGTTGTTTTGGTTACCTCAGGCTTGTAGCATAGTTTGAAGTCAGGTAGTGTGATGCCTCCAGCTTTGTTTTTTTTGCTTAGGATTTTCTTGGCTATACGAGCTCATTTTTGGTTCCATATGAAATTTTAAGTAGTTTTTTCTAATTCTGTGAAGAAAGTCAATGGTAGCTTGAAAGGATAGCATTGAATCTATAAATTACTTTGAGCAGTATGGCCATTTTCATGTTATTGATTCTTCCTATCCATGAGAATGGAATGTTTTCCCATTTGTTTATGTCCTCTCTTATTTCCTTGAGCAGTGGTTTGTAGTTCTCCTTGAGAGGTCCTTCACATCCCTTGTAAGTTGTATTCCTAGATATTGTATTCTCCTTGTAGCATTGTGAATGGGAGTTCACTCATGATTTGGCTGTTTGTCCATTATTGGTGTATAGGAAAGCTTGTGATTTTTGCACATTGATTTTGTACCCTGAGATTTTGCTGAAATTGTTTATTAGCTTAAGGATATTTTCAGCTGAGAAGATGGGGTTTTCTAAATATACAGTTATGTCATCTGCAAGCAGAGACAGTTTGACTTTCTCTTTTCCTATCTGAATACCATTTCTTTTTTTCTCTTGCCTGATTGCCCTGGCCAGAACTTTCAATACTATGTTGAATAGGAGTAGTGAGAGAAGGCATACTTGTCTTGTGCCAGTTTGCAAAGGGAATGCTTTCAGTGTTTGCCCATTCAGTATGAAATTGGCTATGGGTTGGGAGAGGACTCAAGATGGCGCTGTGAGAACAACCCAGGATTAGAGCTCTCATTGAATCCGCGGAGAGGTGAGTCAGAGCTGCATTTCCAGACTGATCTTTGTTGCCCACAGAACGGGGAAATTCCCAAGTATAAAGGAGACACGGGATGCCAGGCAGTACCTCTGCCTGGCGAAACCGGCAGCCGGGGTGGCAGCGGCCGGACCTACCCAGCACTCCCCACAGGGTGCACTTGTCCGGGTGCCCTTTTGAACCGGCAAACAGAGACTTGAGAGGGCTGGACTTGAGACTGAATGAGACTTGGACAGTGGGCCAGCCCAGGGGATTGCAGGGACAGAGCGTTTGGGATAGCCCAGTGGGACGAACAAAACCGTGATTTCAAACAATCCCGAGCAGATGGTCGGAGATGCTCTGTGGGGGAGGAGCGTTCACCATTACAGAGGCAACCCACCCCAACTGAGATACACGCCCACTGCTGATGCAGCCAGCCATTGCCAAAGCAACCCGTCCCTACTGAGATACATGCCCACTGCTGATGCAGCCTGCTGTTGCCGAGGCAACCCACGACAACAGAGAGACTCCGCCGCAGGGCGTGTCAGAGACCACAGCAGAACAGCAGAGCCTACAGCAATAGGGTGAACCTCACAACAGCAGGGCGGAGCCTCGGAAGGCTAGTCTGCCTCCTCGCTGGGCAGGACACCTCAACGGACATCCAAATATAAAGCCTGAACCCCCCAACACAGAGCATTTGAGAAAAAAAGGGTTTTTTAATGAGCTCTGTTGCAGCAGAATCAAACATAGCAGCCTAACAGCCCTGAATGAACAACAGAGCTCACAGCTCAGCAATTGAGCTCCTATAAAGTACAGACTGTCTCCTCAAGCAGCTCCCTGACCCCTCTATATCCAAAAGACTGACATTTGGCAGGCATCATTCTGGGACAAAGATAGCAGAAAAAGAAACTGGTAGCATCCCTCGCTGTGCCACAGCTGCTAGAGGTGCACCCCAGACAAGCAGGGCCTGGAGTGGACCTCAGCAGTCATACAGTGAAGAAGCTAGACTGGTAGAAGGAAAACCAAGTAACAGTAATACTTCATCATCAACAATCTGGGTGTCCACTCAGAGACCCAATCGAAAAGTAAGCAACTACGCAGATGACAAGCGCATAAATCCACAAAGATGGGAAGAAACCAGCGAAAAAAGGAGAAAAACACCCGAAACCAGAACACCTCGCCTCCTAGAAAGGACCAAAACTCCTCACCAGCAAGGGAACAAAGCTGGATGGAGAATGACTGTGACGAAATGACGAAATTAGACTTCAGAAGGTGGATAATGAGAAACTTTTGTGAGCTAAAAGAACATGTATTAAATCAATGCAAAGAAACTAAGAAACTTGAAAAAAGATATGAGGAAATGATAACAAGAATGGATAACTTAGAGAGGAATATGAATGAATTAAAGGAGCTGAAAAACACAATACAAGAACTTCGCGAAGCATGCACAAGTTTCAATAGCCGAATTGACCAAGCAGAAGAAAGAATATCTGAAGTTGAAGACAAACTCAATGAAATAAAACGAGAAACCAAGATCAGAGAAAAAAGCGCAAAAAGGAATGAACAAAGCCTCCAAGAAATGTGGGACTATGTGAAAAGACCTAACCTAAATTTGATAGGTGTACCA